GGGGGGGATGTGCAGCAACCCACCATTTTTGCTCCCTGGAGGCTACTTCCCTGAGGCCCAGCAGGCAAAAAAAAGCCCACCCAGTCACATCACCACCTGCCCATCCCCAACTAACCACACCCACCTAGCCATGCCCACAGAACTGGTAGTTAAAAAAGTTACATCCCACCACTGCTTTGGATGGGTAATTAACCCCACAAATTTCTTTCTGGCTGGAATTTGGCTGTGTGTGACCTAGGCTTTAATTCAAGCATTTCTCAAGGCTATAACTATTTTTTTCATGGGCATGTGACACTTTTCTTACATTGGTTGCATAGATTAACTCATTTTTACATCTTCTTTACAGCTCCTGATTCTTCCTCCTCTTTTGCCAGATGTCAGAGTAGTGATAAGGTATACTGGCAATGGAATCTTTTGGATCCATAGACAATAAATGCAAATGAATAAAGATATGAATAAAACAATGTTAACCACTACTATTAATAAAGCAATGTTAAGCACTACTATTATGAAGAAAACTGATTTAAAACAAAAGATAAAAAGTATACACATTAAGTAAGATGATACCAAATCTCTTATAAGCTAATTGGTGTTGCTTAATAACAACAGCAGAGATACCAAAACATGGACTGGGCTTGGTTGGGTTGGTTTATATTATATTGCTGGTTTCTACATTATATTGAATTCCAATACGACTAAGTCCTGTATAGCTTTTCCTCTAGTTCCGTCCTCTATCCTTTGGATGACAATGTCATCAATTAAGTTGATTAGGAATCTGTTCTATATCCCACTTGCTGCAGAGTTTTTCTCCCAGTTGATATGAGGGAAGTTAAATCCTCCCATTACTACTACAGTTTGTTTCCCACATACATTTATTAACTGATTAGCAAATAATTCATCTGTTTCTTCTGTTTGGTTGGGTGCCCTGTAGTATATAACCCTATAGCAATGTCATTTCCCCTCATTTTATATTGATCTATATAAATTCTAGGAGATTGTCTTGTTTTTTATTTATTTATTTCTGTAGGGCTGTGGTGATCTTTTATATATAATACAACTGTTAGGTCTTTTTCTTTTGAATAGTTTGTATCCTTCCAGCAGTACATTCTAGTCATGAGGTTCATCCCATTCAGTTTCAATAATGGTAACTTATATATCTGTCTTCATGTACTAATATTTCAAGTTCACCCTTTTATCATTATTGTTCGGGCATTTGAATCCTTTATCGGTCTTGGGCAGAGGTGGTATTCAGCAGGCTCTAACCAGTTCTGGAGAATCGGTAGCAGAAATTTTGAGTAGTTTGGAGAACCAGTGATAACCTTACCCCAGGAATGGGGTGGGAATGGAGATTTTACAATATCCTTCCCCTGCCACATCCATCAAGCCACACCCACCAAGCCATGCCACACCCAGCAAATCACACCCACAGAACCAGCAGTAAATTTTTTTGAATCCCACCATTGATCTTGGGTATGTTTCTTATATGTCCTACTTTGTAACTGGAATTTCATTTTTTTCCCATCACTCTCTCCTTCATTATGATTTTCTTTGTTTTATTTCTTTTATTTCTTTACTCCCTACCTCCTTATGTGAAAGGAGTAAAAAAAAAGGTTTTTTAAAAAAGTAAAAAAGCTTTTTGCTTGGACTTGGGTTCGAAAGGTTGTTAAGATTGCCCTTCCCCATTCTCCCTTTTAGTTTAAAGCCTTTTTGATAAGATGAGCCAGTCATTTTCCGAATATATTCTTTCCAGCTCTTGTGAGGTGCAGGCCATCCTTTGCTGGTAACCCTTCATGTAGGTAATTCAGACCATGGTTTAGAAAGCTGAAGTTATGTTAATGACACCAGTTTTTAAGCCAGTGGCTTGTTTCTAAGATCCTTTGCTACCTCATTGGATGTTGAGAGAAAAGGATTTTAAAATCTTCCATTTATACACGAAAGGGGTAGAAAATAGCCCTTCATGGCACTGCAAGTTTCCTTTTATTAGACGAGTGGTTTCCTAGAATTCTTGATAATCGCAAGAGGGTTTCAGTTTCCTAATTCTTCTTGGCTCTGGCCTACCTCATTTATTCATTGTTGGTGTTTTGGATTGAACCTTTAATTTGTTCTTATTTTACCAACCATGGTTAAACCCAGCATATATAAAGTTCATTTCTGGGAGAAAAGACAAAGCCTCATTGAAAGAAACTTTCAAAAACTCCAGAATTTATACAGGGAATAATACTTATTTTTATGTATAATGTTATAGAAGGATTGAAGATAGATGAAAAACTGGACTATAGCATAAAAAAAACCTAAAATTAAATAGATGGAGTGCTAGAGGTCTCAGATATGTAAACAAGCCAGTTTAAGCAATACATAAACTAGTATAAGATGGGGAACTGAGGGACATGTGGGATGGACTTTATAATACTTGCAATATGTATTTTGTAGTGTCATTGCACTTGCTAAATAGCATGGATTTTCTTGTATTTTAAATTTGTCACGAATTTGCTGATGCTCTCACCCTCGCGCTGGTCTCTTTGGTAAAAGTTGTGCCGGTGAATAAGGGTGGGTACAGCTGGAGTGTAGTGGTTTTGGAGGATGGGTGCGAGGTCGTCCCAATCCATCGTCTTGACATCTGTGGGTTTTGCCAAAGCCTTGGCCATTTTAAACACGGTGGGCCTGCAGTTTGATAGGAATACAGCCCATTTCCTGTTGCCATTGGCATCTTTCAGGTTGCTGCATTCCAAAAACATATGAAACCGGTCGATGTAGGACTCCCAGTCCTCAGTGGCTGGATTAAAGGGTGCGGGTAGCACGGTGTTGCTGGCCATCTTGATGGTTGTTTCATGCCATTTGCCATGTGCTGGATTGTCTCGTTGTCTTCTCTATCCCATCCTCGTTGCCAGTCTTAAGTTTGGAAAGTCGGGCTCATAAAGACGAGAGACTCCGTTTCAGTAACAACAGCTCTTTATTTTTCAGCTAGAACAAGCTCAAAAGAATAGAGCTGCGGCGGCTCTTTTATAGAGCTCGCTGGGGCTTGGCAACCAATGACATTGCTTCAAGTCTCCCGCGCTTGGTTTTGACCAATCGTGGCAGACTCTTAGCAAGCCAATCATAACTGCCCTGGTTGTCCAATCAGGTAGCGGTTGAAACGGACCAATGGGAATGCAGGGTTTCAAGTCTGCTAATATGGAACACCTAGGACAAAGAAGGGGTGGGCATGGATCTTCCTCTGAATTCCTTCTTCCTTGCTCTACCTCTCCCCTGCTTTACCCAGCTGGATTTTGCCCTTCCCCAGTATCTTCCACAGCCAATGGAGCCACACTCCCACTCCCTGTCAGCTGCTCAGCCTCCCCTTTGGAATCAGATTCTTTCAGGGGCATAACAAAAGCATTCAAAGCATTCAACCCCAGAAACATACCCCCAAGAAGCATAACCCCTCTTCCTTTCAGAATGGCAGCCTTCCAGCAGGAACCAGACATTGACCTTGGCTAGTTATATTCACATACCTAGAGATGGATAATAATTCTGCCAATTATAAGGGAAAAGGCCAAAAAGAAATATCAGGAAACCCATAGAAACCAAGTGGAATGTCAGTAGTTACACAACAAAATAATAGAACATGGTGGCATTTGTGTGGGAGTCCAAGAAAGCATGATTATTTTACTGTTATATTGCAAGCCACACTCCTTTGTAGGAAGAAAGTGGCTGCCTGATAAGTCTACTGATACATACCTAAAACAAAATTCAGGGAATGAAATGAAATGTAAGCCCATTCAGACTTAGAAAAGTTATAATAGAATAAATAATAAAATAAATCCATAGAAATCAAGAAAAATGCCCTGTAAGAACATCTCTAGAGGAAAATTGGTGGGAAGATCAACCCCTCACTAATTGTACCTAGCTTTGGCTGGATTGAAAGAATAAAAACTATTGGTAGAAAATGAGAAAATGAATGAACATCCTTTTTGGAGGGCAGAACATCTAATAGAAAGTATAAGATTCTAATGCTTCCATAGGTAAGTAGAAAGAAAACCTACATTATTATTATGTAGGGGCAAAGTTGGTCACATTGATAAAATCCATACATCAGTATTTTGATACAACATCAATTATTATCTGCACTAAAATTTATATTGATATATGAAAAGGATAGAACATAGCTTTTCATGGTACTGCAAGTTTCTTTTTGTTGGACAAGTAGATTTTTTTCTAGAAATATTGATTACCTCAAAAATGTTTCAGCTGTACCAGTTCTTGATTGTTCTAGTCAACATCATTTCTTCGTTGCCATTTTGGATTGGACTTTATTCTTGCTCATATCTTACAAACCGTGCTTAAATGTAACATACCTCAAATAGGTCACATAGTTTAAACAACTTCACAATTATGCTTGTTTCGTACAAATGTACTAGATCCTGGTATTCACCTCTCCAAAAATCAAGAGGCTGCCAATCAACTACATTTAAAGTTTTATAACAACAATTAAGGATGCAAAATGTTTGCTGAGTAACTTCTTGAGTTCTTCTTGATGTAAAGGTTAGATATACCTGCATCCCTTTATCCTTTCCCCCTTTATTCAGAGAAGACAAAGAAAGCGGAAAAAAGTGAACAGAATAGTTTAGTTTACTTTATTATCATTGTACCTCATACAATGAAATTAAATGCAATTACATCTTTAGTGTACATTATTACTATAAAAATGAAATGCAATTACACATCTTTCACATTCTATACAATTGAATTGAAAACTCCTGATATTGCCTTAATATTTCATGATACAGCAGAATTCAAGATAGTTACTGTTCTGGGATAGAAGGTGTTTTTCAGCCTATTTGTCCTTGTTTTTATTATCCTGAACAGTCTGCCAGATGGTAATAGTTCCAAAAAAGGGTGTCCAGAATGAGATGGATCTTTAAGAATGTTTTGAACATTCTTAAGGCAGCAGGAGCTATAAAGCTTTTCCAAAGAGGGGAGATATAAACATCATTAATGATAAAGATCATTAAAAGAATCTGTCAAAATCTCCATAGATGACAAAGGAAACATTTGATATTCTTATTTCTCATGCTATAGATGATTGGATTGAACAGGGGTGGAAGGAGAGCATACAGAACAGTCAACCCAAAATCTAAATACGATGGAGTTTTAGAGGAACGTCTTAGATAGGCAAAGCATCCACTTAATAATAACATAGACACTACCAGAAGATGGGGAATACAAGTGGATAAAGCTTTTTGCCTTCCTTTTTCAGAAGGGATTCTTAACACTGCCTTGAAGATCACTGCATAAGATACAATTATAAAAGTAAAACAACCAAATCCAACAATGAAACTAGCCACAAGAATTCCAACCTCAAATAGATTTATGCCAGAGCAGGATAGTTTTAGCAACTGTGGAATATCACAGAAGAATTGGTTGACCACATTAGAACAAAAAAGGATGGAAAAAGTGCCAGTAGTATGCAACGTTCCATACAGAATACCTGTAACCCACACTAGAAGAATTATTACAATGCAGGCTTTCCAATTCATTACCCTCCCATAGTGTAGTGGATAGCAAATGGCAACATATCGATCATATGCCATGACTGTTAGGAGAGAGAAATCAGAAGCTCCAAGGAAGAGAAAGAAAAAGATTTGAGCAGCACAACCAGAATAAGAGATGTGTCTGCTACCCATGAGAGAATTTATCATGGATTTGGGCACAATGACTGAAACAATGCCAATGTCCTGCAGAGCTAAATTCATGAGAAAGAAGTACATGGGGCTGTGCAGGCGATGGTCGAAAGCTATTGCAGAGATGATGAGAAGATTTGTTGTTACAGTTGCCAGATATAGCATAAAGAATATGAAAAAATGCAAAAGCTGCAGATCCTGATTTTTTGAGAATTCCAGAAGCAGAAAGTAATGCATTGTGGTTTGATTCTCCATGTTTCATTTGTAATAAAGCTGGAAGAACTGCAAGGATATAGAAAACGGAGATGTAGTTAGATAACATTTGGGAAGTGGCATTTTGATATAGAAAACATCAAGCAATGTAAATAATGGACAGAATGAACAGAGAATCAGAGAATGAAAAACAGATGTAGGATCAACTTGACAATTTCAATCCACCCATACTAAGGAACCAACCACTAACTTCACATTTTTCCTTCTTTCGTCTTTTCAGTTCTGTTACTTCATGTACTGATCAATTGCCTAGGAGTAGAAAAACATTCTTCACATTTATTTTTATCAATGGAAAATTACTCAGAATAATTGGACCCATCATGATGTCTTACTTCAGCTATAGTATTGTGATACTGCTGGAAAATTGGAGAATGTTTTATATCTGTAGTTCTAGAAGAAAGGCAATGTATATTTAGCAAGCAAATAATGAGTTAATATGCCAAGTCTTTTTTTACTTGGAAATCTTAGGAGCAGAAATTTCTTTGTATAATTTTTCTCTGAGTGTGCATTTGCCTGCATTATTATGTCTTTATTTAAAGGATACAGGTGATTTCTTTTTCTCAGTTTTCTTCACATATTTTAGACTAAAAATAGAATAAAAAATATTTTGACTAATACATATATACAAAATTCCTGAGCTTATTTAATGGGAAGTTATTAAATTAAAAAAAACTGATATAACTTTACTTACTTACTTCTCATTCCACTACACTAGAAAACTATCTAATCCAATTTACTTAAATTCTCTTCTGCAAAAAAATTATAAAGCCAATCCTGAGATACAATACTAAGGCATATTGAAATAAATACTAATTTGCTCCATAAAAGATCAAAATAACTGATTTGTTAAATTTTCAATTTATAACTGACTTGTCTTTAAAGATTATGTCTTCTATGTATTAAAAAGTGTTACATATCTTACCACTAGGTCATTGCTGTCCAACAAATTATCATGTACTATCTGCAGATGTAAAACAAATTATCAACATCAATCTGCAGTTGTAAAGATTTCTATTTTGAATGTTTATTAATCTTTGTTTTGTTTCTCTCTAGAGAGTTGTACACCAAAATGAAACTTACTTATTTGTGATTATTAATATACTTAGTAAACATGTGTAATGTTGGTTCCTTTGTGCTTATTAACATAATTGGCCATCAAGAGTATTACAGCTATCTCTATGACCAGTTACCTTATCCCACAGAACATTAATATTTCAGATTGTTAACAGAAGGGGGGCTGCAGTGTGAATTGTGAGAGGTGAAACATGAACCAAGTGAGAAGACTTCCCAGCATATAATTTCATCATTTGTGAGTATCTTTTGTTAAGTCGGTAGATCGGTCCCAAGAAGACATGCGAGACTCAGTGACTTTTAAAGCTCTTTTATTGCATGTTTAGATCAGCTCGGCTCGGCTTCAGATCAGTGGCGGTTTATATTAAACTTGCTCTCAGTGCCGCGGCCAATGACATCGTTTCGAATTTCCCACGATCAGTTTTACCCAATTGCGGGTGATTCACAACGGGCCAATCACTGCAGCTTACTCAGCCAATCTGAGTGCGGTGCATCTTAACCAATCAGGATTGAGTATTGCAAGAATGCTAATACAGCAATACAGAACATCTTTCACCTCCAGTTTTTTAAAAATCCCAACCTTTATTCAGCATGCCACAGGCAGGGAAAGAGCTTGACCTTGGCTAGATATGCCTACATTATTAATGCAGAGGTAGAAAATAACTCTGCAAATTACAAAGAGAAAAGGCAAAAAAGAAAGTTCAGAAAACCGATAGAAATCTAGTGGAATGATAATAGTTACACAAGAAAAACTTTTAGACAATATTGCATAGAAAATCCCTATGATCCACACTAGAATTATCATTTCAGTGCAGACTTCCCAAGTCATCACCATTACGTAGTGCAGGGGATGGCAAATGACAACATAATGATCATATGTCATGACTGTCAAGAGGGAGAAATCAGAAGCTTCAAAGGAGAGAAAGAGAAAGATTTGAACAACACAACCAAAGTAAGAGGTGTGTCTGGTGTCTATGAGAGAATTGATCATGGAATTGGGGACAATGACTGAAATAACGCCCAAGTCCTGCAGAGCCAAATTCATTAGAAAGAAGTACATCAGACTGTGTCAAAAGCTACTGCAGATGATGAGATGATTTGCTGTTACTGTTGCCAGATATAATATGAAGAATAAGAAGAAGTGCAAAAGCTGCAGATGCCAATCTTTTGAGAATTCCAGGAACAAAAATTAAGACACCATAGTTTGATTCTCCGCATGTCATTTAAGAGAGAGCTGTAGGGCATAACTGCAGGGAAGTGGCATATTGATATGTGGAGATAATTGCAAATAAAAAGAAGTGTAAAGCATGAACAGAATAAAGAGAGTATCAGGCCATGGAAGTAGCAAATGCAAGATGGGCATGTCAGAGCACACTCACAAAACATTCTCACTAGGTGAACGCTGATTCATTTCCATTCAATTGTACTTGAACCAACCACCAACCTCACATTTTCTCTATCCTACTTCATTTTTTTTCCTGGAAAAAAATAATTTGTTAAAAGAAGGTTAAAATACAAAATGTCAGAATACTTTAAAAAGGACAAAAGAATAAAAAAAAACACAACAAAAAGACATTAAAAAGAAACAGTATATTAAAAAAAAGAAAAAGAAAAAATCTAACATGTATACACATAACATTCTCCCTCGTTGAATTCTGGTTAATATAATACAACAATGTTAGTTTTCTACCCCTTACAAAACAGGCCAAAATAATTTAAAATATTATACTAACTTTATTTACAAATTGTAAGTCTGGCATCTATAAACTATATTAATAAAAAAACCCAGTTAACAGAAAAACAATGATAAACATATTAAAAAAAAGTTTAATTCCAAATCACCTTAAATATTAACTCTATTGGTCCCTGATCAAATATCCACATTTGTTTGATTTCTTACATATTCATATGCTGGCTTTAGATAAATATGCTTGGATGGGTTTGGATGACAGGAATTGTATCATGAAATTTTTAGGATAGCCATTGTGAAGGAAAATGTCATAATATGATCTTTGTCATCGAAACCCTAACAAAATACACAGCCAACCACAACACAAAACAAGTCCTGATATATATCAAAGGAACATCCAAAATGGCCCCCAGAATACTGTAACCCCTAGGAAAAATAATAGTTCACAAATCCACATTTATACTCAGAAAAGAACTATCTAAAGTCAAAGACAAAATACAGAAGGAGAACAGCAACATAGTATACAAAATCAATTGCAATTATTGTAACCAATTCTATGTGGGATAAACAGGAAGGTGATTGAAAATAAAGGTTCATGAACATCAAATAGCAGTTCAACAGCACGACCAAAAATCCTTCATCTCAAACTACATAGATAATAAATAACACCAATTCAACTCTGACATCTCCGTACTTCTTTTAACAATGTGGAACAAGATTTTCAACAATAATAATGCTACATCTTGCTGAAGTCTTCACTCTGGTCTGCTCTGTGAGTGGGAGCCAGAGCCATCCCTGATTGGCTCAGTATAAAAGGACTGTCAAACAGAATCAGCTGTTCTCTGTCAGCCAGCTGACTGTTAGCCTGTGGCAAGCCACGGCTGTGCTACTTTATAGCAATAAAGCCTGTTAGCCTTTAGTTAAGCCTCTGTCTCTTTACTTCCACATGCCATACTTAAAACTGGAGACGAAGATGGGATGTTAGTGCAGTGAGGTAATTCTGAGGCAAAAAGAGCTGAACTAACAAGGCTGAAGTCACTGACCTAGATGTCACTGGCCACTTCTGATGGCAGCACAACCTAACTTCCTGCCTTTCCACCTGTCTACTGAAACCTGGACGTCCTACATAAGACATTTTGAGTGTGTGATGGACGCCACCAATCTAAAAGAGATCCCTGTGAACAGGAAGAAGGCTTATTTCCTCAGCTTCTGCAAAAAACACGGTCTTCGACACTGACACTGCCCCTTTAGCACCCCAGACCATCAAAGCCATCACCCGGGAAGAGCTACAAGAGGTTCTCAGCAATCACTATGTGCTGAAACCATCCTGCATAGCCCATCATCATGCCTTCCGAAGAAGAAGTCAAGTGAAGGGAGAATCCATCAGTGAATATATGGCTGCTTTCAGATCGGCTGCCCTTCACTGTGGATTCTGGGACCTGGACGACATGCTTCTGGATCAGTTGGTCTGTGGTGTTAGAGACCTCCATTTGCAGAGGTGCCTCTTAGCCAAAGCTAAGCTAAACCTGAAAGAAGCCATTGAAGAAGCACAAGCCACAGAAATGTCAACACTTTCCACAGCAGAATTTCAAGGCTCCAGCAGACAACCAGGTTGAAGGACCAAAGCAGCTGTCCACTATGAAGAAACCATCAGTGCAGATTTTTATGAGGGTGAAGAGGACATCAACCACCTGAAGGGACCTCAGCCAGCTCAACAAAGAAATAACCCAGCTAAGAGAAGACAGATCACATCACAAATCATCTGCCTAAGCTGTGGAGGCAATAGTCCCAGAGCCATGTGCCGCTTCAGAAGCATGAGCTACCTCATGTGCCAGGGAAAGGGCCATCTAGCAAGAATCTGCCAGGCTGGAAAAAGCCTGAACCAGCAAGCTCCCTACCAACTTCAGACAAAAAACTTTAAGACTAAAGAGGACTGCTTTACCATTAATAAAGCACGTCCTACAGCTGAGTCACTATCTAACCAAACCTGTTTTAACATTTACAGAATTAATGTTGATGTTCTCTTAGCAGGTAAACCCTGCAAGATGGAGGTAAACAAGTGTGCTTAAGGGTTGTCTGCTATGGGGTAGCAGGGTAGTTATTGCTCAAAAGTTAAGGTCCAACATTATATCTATCCTACATGAGGGACATCCTGGAATAACCAGGATGAAGGCTTTGTCTAGAAACTATGTGTGGTGGCCAGAGCTGGATGAGGCAGTATACAATAAAGTAC